GATAAGGAACTTAGCTCAGAAGAAAGTTGGTAGGGGCCTTATCCCAGCTTGTTGACTGTGACCAGCTAGCTTCTTAGAAAACATAGTGTAATTTAGCATATTTGGACATACAAATTTTGAGTGTTATCAGACTTTCTTAGTGTTAGGCACCACGTTACCAGAACTCCTAAGAATGCAAAAGTAAGAAACAAAGAAACAACATCGGTAGTTGGAAATTACAGCTTTGGTGATAGAAATGATGCTGAAGATCGCATGATAGAATTTTACAAGATCAGTGACTTACTCATTGCAAATATATTTTTTCAGCAACATAAACAGCAACTACACACATGGGCCTCATCAGATGGAATACACTGGAATCAAATTAAACTACATCTGTGGAAAGAGGTGATGGAGAAGGTCAATGTCAACAGACAAAACAAGGCCAAGAGCTGCTTGTGGACATATCATCAATTACTCATGTGCAATTTCAAGTTGAAGCTGAAGAAAATTAAAACAAAAACCAAAATGTGACTTAGAGTATATCCCACCTGAATTTAGAAACCATCTGAATAATATGAAGATTTGATGCATTGAGCACCAGTGACCAAAGACCAGATGAGTTCTGGGATGATGTCAAGAACACTATACATGAAGAAAGCAAAAGATCATTAAAAAGACAAGAAAGGAACAAAAAACCAAAATGTCAGAAGAGACTCTGAAACTTGCTCTTGAATGGAGAGTAGCGAAAGTGAAAGGAAAAAAATGTTGAAATATAAGAGCTGAACAGAAGATTTCAAAAGGTGGCTCAAGAAGACTATGTAAAGTATTGTAACAAAATTTGCAAAGACCTGGCATTGAAAAGTCAAAAGGGAAGATATGCCTGGCATTTCTCAAGCTAAAAGAACTGAAGAAAAAAAAATCAAGCCTCAGATTGGAATATTGAAGGATTCTATGGGCATTATCATGGCGTAGTGCCTAAGGCACTTAGATGCTAACCAGAAGGCTGACGGTTCAAACCCACCAGCCACTCCTTGGAAGGAAGGTTGAGCAATCTACTTCCTTAGAGATACTGCTTCGGAAATTCAAGGAGGGGTCACTATGAGTTGGATCCGACTCAACAGCAGTGACTTTAGTTTTTTTGTTTATGGGCAATATATTGAATGATGCAGGAAACATCAAAAAAAGATGGAAGCAATATAAAGAGTAATTTTACAAAAAAGAATTGGTTGTTGTTCAGTCATTTCAGGAGGTAGCGTATGATCAAGAACTAATGGCATTGAAGGAAGAAGTCCAAGCTGCACAGAAGGAATTGGCAAAAAAACAAGGCTTCAAGAATTGACGGAACACCCATTGAGATGTTTCTACAAACAGATGCAGCTCTGGAGGCACTTACTCATCAATGCCAGGAAATTTGGAAGATGGTTACCTAGTCAACTGAATGGAAGAGATCCTTATGTGCACTCATTTCAAAGAAAGGTGATCCAACAAATGCAAAGATTATCAAATAATATCTTTAATATCATATGCAAGTAAAATTTTGCTAAAGATAACACAAAAACATTTGCTGCAGTATTTGCAGCTTGAGGAAAGGAATGCACTTTGCAGTTTATGGGAGAGGGGAAGGAAGGGATAATTTCAGGCTAGTTGGGGGCCACATGCTGAGTTGGGTAAGGGGATGGGTGGTATGGAAAGTCTGTGACCAGCATGATAACATTGGGGAAAGGGAGGACACTGATATAGATATAGATGACATAAAGTTGTGATGATGTGATATAAGATATAAATGACACATATATCACATACGATATAGATGACAGAGGCTAATACCAGTATATCCACAATATCGCATTACCATTAACACCAAACTCCAGGCAACAGATAAACACACAGACAACTGAGAAGATCAGATGGGGGTCAGTGAACAGGATTATACTCTAGAACAAGGACAGATTCAGCTGAGGGTAATCTTACACAGATACCAGTGATACAAAATACTTGCAATCATTACAGAAGCAACAGAAGACAGACATCAAGCAATCCCTCATAGACAGCCAGACACTGTGGGAGAGAGATCCAATGGATCTACTGACTCAGGACCATAGTATTGGGGAACACCAGACTCAACTGTCACAACAAAATACATAAAAACCTTGTTCCACTACTTTGGTGAGTAGCGACTGGGGTCTTAAAAGCTTTTGAGTGGCCGTCTAAGATGCAGCTAATGGTCTCCTATCGTCAGAAGCAAAGAAGAGTGAAAAAAAACAAGGACATCTGGAAACAATCAGCCCTTGGACATAATGGACCTAGAGACCAGAAGAACTAGATGGTGCCTGGCTACCAATGCCAACCACTCAGGAAGGGATCAAAACTGGAGATCCTGGATACACTGGGAGGAAAAATGTGGAACAAAATCCAAAAACACAATAATGACCAGAATTATTGATCAGATGGGGTCTGGTGGGACCCCCAAGACTATGGCTCTGGGATACACCGTGGGCCTGGGATAAAACTCACTCCTAAGGGCTGGCTCTCAGCCCAATAGTAAATAAGACATACACGCTGACCACTCAACCCAGGGTGATGCACCCACATACTCTATGGAGATACTCCCCTTGGAGTAATCAGCTATGGGGCACCAGAGGGGTAACATTCACAGGGAGGAAAAGCAGGATACACAGAAGTGCACAACAAAGAAGGGTATGGGGGTGGGGGTTACTGGAAAGAGAGAGGAGAGTGATGTAAAATGAATTCTGCTCTTTAAATTTGCACCTAAAGCACTACACACACACACACACATATGCAGCAGTATAATGACAGGGAACTTCCAGAAATACAAGCTGATTCAGAAGAGAATGTGGAATAAGCAAAACCATTGCTGATGAGAGATGGATCTTGGCTAAAAAGAAAGAATGCCAGAAGATGTTTAACTGTGTTTTATTGACTATGCAAAGGCATTCAGCTGTGTGGATCATAAGACATTATGGATAACATCGTGAAGAATGGGAATTGTAGAGCACTTCATTGTGCTCATGAGGAAACTGCATAGATTAAGAGCCTGTCATTCAAATAGAGCAAGGGAATACCGAGTGGCTTAAAATCAGGAAGGGCATGTGTTAGGGTTGTATCATCACCATACATATTCTATCTGCATGCTAAGCAAAGAATCTGAGAAACCAGACTATATGGAGGAATGCGGCAATAGGATTGGAGGAAGACTAATTTAACAACCTGTGATATGCAAATGACACAACCTTCTTTGTTGAAAGTGAAGAGGACTTCAAGCATTTGCTGATGAAGATCAAAGACTACAACAGTCTTCTGTATGGATTAACCAATTGCCATCTAGTGGATTCCGACTCACAGCGAGCTCCATTGGGCTTCCAAGGCTATAAATCTTTATGGAAGCAGATTGCCTCATCTTCCTCCCACAGAGCAGGTAGTAGGTTTGAACTACTGCTGATCTTGTGGTTTATAGCCAAATGCCTTATACCTCAACACAAAGAAAACAAAAATCCTCACAACTGGTCCAGTAAGCAATATCATGATAAATGGAGAAAAAATTGAACTTGTCAACCATTTCATTTTACTTGGATCCACAATCAACACTCATGGAAGCAGCAGTCAAGAAATCAGATGTTCAATTGCACTAGGCAAATCTGCTGCAAAAAACAAAACAAAAAACAAGAAAACCTCTTTAAAGTGTTGAAGAGCAAAGATATCACTTTGAAGACTAAGGGGCACTTAACCCAAGCCATGGTATTTTCAGTCTCTTCACATGCATGTGAAAGCTGGACAATGAATAAGGAAGACCGAATAAGAATTGATGCCTTTGAATTGTGGTGTTGGCAAAGAATAAGGAAAATAGCATGGACTCCCAGACTTCCTTTCACTTACATTGGTCATGTGGTCAGAAGGGACCATCCCTGGAAAAGGGTATCATGCTTTGTAAAGTAGAGGGTCAGAGAAAAAGGGGAAGATCCTCAGCAACATGGATTGAAACAGTGGCTGCAACGGTGGGTTTGAGCATAGCAAGCATTGTAGGATGGTGCAGGACAGGGCAATGTTCTGTTCTGTTGTGTATGGGCTTGCTATGAGTCAGAATTAACTCAAAGCACCTAACAACAACAACATTCCTCACTATTGACTATCCTGTTATTTGACATTTTGCACTTATGACGATAGTGAAAAATCTACTATCCAACTATTTTGTGTATTAACAACATGTGTCTAGCAGTAATGAATGCCGAAGTGCAAAGCAAGATTGATGCTAGTTGTGATGTTAATGCTATGTGTCAACCTGGCTGGGCCATGATTCTCAGTGGTTTGGCAGCTCTGCAATGATGTAGCCATCCTCCATTTTGTGATCTGATGTGATCATCCTCCATTTTTGCATACCCCTAATTTTTGCACAATCACCTGATCTTTGAAATCTAACCCTATTGCTAAGTGAGGAGTGTATGTATTGCTTTTTAAAAGAATTATCAGACATAACAATTCCCTAAGCTACTCTCATGGCTCTACATACTATCAGACCCATCTTCCCTCAAGAACTTTGATGAAGTGTGCTCAATTGTCATTTTGGAGGTTGTCTTTGCAACATGAAGGAAGCAGCAACTGTTATCACTGGAACTAATAATGTGGCATCTGGAGCAGGTTGCCTGGAAGTACTGTTTAACATCTTTCACTCAGAGACAGAGCATCTGGAGCCAAAGCTTGCCATCCAAATTTCTGGGACTCAAGAAAAGTGGAGAGAGCAATTTTTATTTTTCAATAACCTGAGGGAAATTACAAAATTTCAGTGGTATGATAAGTGCTTAAATGCTTAATGGAATAAGTCCTTTCCTGTTAGAAGTTGCCAACACGCATGCAGGGGATAGTGTCCTGCATGAGAATTAATAGTGGAAGCACAGAACTGTGATCCATCTTCTCAGTGCACCTTTCTGAGATGGCCACGTGAGGAGGCAGAGCCAGAGAGAAAGGTCCTTCCTCCCCCTTGTTGTCTGGGAGGGCAGACTCACCTCATTGTCCTGGTGATTAATCTCACTGAAGTTTGACTGTTGCAGCAGGACTGTTAGGAGTCTGTAAGGAAAAACAGAATAAATGGTTCAAAAGATCAGACGGTCACAGAGTTCTTAAAATCTATATGAGAATGTTAGAAATGCATGTCTGTTGAAAGCTTCTCTAATCGAAGGTGAGAGCTTTTTCTGTTTCGCTGAGAAAAAGATTCATGGAAAAGAAGCCAGCATGATAGGTTAGAAGGTATCCGTGAGGAACACTTTTGCCTTTTCTTCTCCTCCCTTCTCTCTATCTTAGTGCTCCTGGAGGGTCTAAAGGAAATGAAGCACACAGATCTTTAGATGCATCTTATTCACCAGACTTACATAAATGTTGCATGCACTTTATGAACCAAATTCCTCTTATGCTTCTTATTTATTCATAGAATGCTTTCAATCTGCTTCACCACTGAGTACATGTGCCATGTATTTTAAATGTGTAGATTATACCAGGAGGAGGTGGTCAGGATTGAAAATTTAGCTCATTTTTTGTGAAACAATTAAGTGTCTATGCATGAAATGACAATAATCAGTGTGAAACAACTATTAATAATTCTCAAGTTCAGGTTGTTACCTACTTAGACCTTACACTCAGTTGCCTGAAGTGGATATTTATGCAGTTGAGCAGTGGTTAGGCACCCAGACACTGGAGCCAGACTGCCTGGATTCACATCCCCCCGTCCTGGCTATTAATATCTCTGTGACCTCAGACAACTTACTTAACTTCTCTGTGCCTAAATTTCCTCTTCTATATAAAACCAAAAAAAAACCAACTCACTGCCATTGAGTCAATTCTAACTCATAGCCACCCCCATTAGGTTTCTGATGCTCATAGCAATTCCCATTGGGTTTCTGAGGCTGTAACTCTTTACGGAAGTAGATTGCCCCCTCTTCTTTCCTCAGAGCAGCTGGTGGGTTTGAACAACTGACCTTCTGGTTAGCAGCCAAATGCCTTATCCATGACCCCACCTTCTATATAAAGGGGGTCATAAAAAGTGCCTGTCTTATATCTCAGTGTGAAGATTAAATGGGTTAATATGCATAAAGCATTTAAAGCATGCCAGAAACACAGTAAGTATCGTTTCTAGACCACTTAACTCTAGAAATCTTCATTCTGGCTCCATCTCAGTATTCTCTGGGAAGATTCTCAAAATCACAGATACCTGGACTCTATTCCTGGAGTTTCTGATTATGTAGGTCTGAGGAAGAACCCGGGTTTTATAGTTTAAAATAGTTCAGGAAATTCTGGTAAACAGCCAGCCTTAGAAACCATTGAGAAGAGAACCGAATAAGTTAATCAATGGAAGCTCATCAACATGAGAAAGAGCAGTCCATGGGCAGACAATGAATGAAATTCAGAAGTTATTTTTGGAAGAATTATTTGAGAAGAAATTAAAAATTTTAGCCCTCTTTTTCAATCAAATTTTCAGTCTCACAGATATGGGAATATTGAAAGCCCTACATTTTAAATCACCAAGTATAATAGCACAAAAGAAAGATGGACTACCCATATTACCTAAGTGGTAAATGTAATACAAAGGGAATTTAAATAAGGGATTTTTTTTTTAAAAAAAAAGACATAAACAGGAAGTCTAAGCTTTAAATCTAATCTTAGCAGTATAGCTTTTGGGAAGCCAGAGCAATGCTGTGATTTAATTCTGGTCACACCACTGAGGGTCTGTCTGAGCTTCATGATCCTCATTTATATAATTGGGAAAATAACAGCAGTGGATATAAGGAATGAACGATATAACAGATGTGAAACTCTTGGCACACAGACTTTAAAGGAACTGTGGCTATGACTGCAAGCAGTACATCTCCTTGATCCTTTCTGAATTCTGTACTCTTCTCCTTTGGGTGGATAGAGGCCACCTTCTCAGGCTGGAATTACACTGGCTATTGTGAATACAGACCATGAAAACTCTTTCTGTACCCACACTCCTCCTCTTTATAGCAACAGCATCTGGAGAACAAACACTCCTCACCTCTGAGGAAAGATGGAAAAATTATCTCATTTAAAATATTTCCCAAATAGTAGCTTCAGGGAAAAAATCTAACTGCTGTATATGTCATCCAAACCAGGGAACTCCCTCCTATTTCTGACACCAGTTAGAAGCATATCCTACCCCACCCTATACCCTTAATCACACTATACAAAACCTTAACATTTCTTTACTTAAACCCAAAACTTTTATCCTTAACATCCCTTGGCACACCCCTCCAACTGCATGCATACAACTAACACCAACACCACTGAAATGTTTATAACAAAAACCAGCCTCATTTGTAACAACACACAAGGTAATGATACTCATGCCCCAGCCATAAACCCATTTTCTACCCTTTCTCTCTACTTACTGGGACAATTAGATATATCATCCTTATCAGAATCACTTCTCATCCAGCCTATAAATTGGACTAATATAGTATGTCAACCTGGGCCCCAATTCTTCTTAATTTGTACCAAATAACATACACTGCTGTTGGGAGCGTTGACTTTTCTGGCCTAAATACTGGATATTCCACTTGGAAAATTCAAAACTTCACCAATATGACTCTACCTTCTGTTGAGCTCCCTCCAGCTGGTAATTATGTGCCCCCAACTCAACCAGGATATATGCCAAATTGCTCTAATCAAATACCTGCAAAACTCTTTTCTCCTTTGCAATCACATTATAACAATAATGCTACACATATACCAGCTCCCCCACACATGGTTTGGCTATGTGCCACTCCAAGTAATGCTTTTACCCCTGGACCTGCTTTCCAAAAAAAAAAAAAAAAAACCTAACTCACTGCCATTGAGTTGGATCTGATTCATAGCGACCCCTCCTTGGGTTTCTGAGGCGGTATCACTATGGAAGTAGATTGCCCAATCTTCCTTCTGAGAAGTGGCTGGTGAATTTGAACATCCAGCCTTCTGGTTAGTAGTTAAATGACTTAGGCACTACACCACCAGAGCTCCCAGACCTGCTTTAGCTACTAATTATTTAAATAATACACCCATGCACACCATGAACTCTGGATATCTAGCCCCACTTCAAGTTATAACTTTAAATATAAGCAAAACAAGACAAAAAAGAGGGATAGGGATAATAATGGCAGGAGCACTCAGCACAAGAGTGGCAACATCACCAAGGGGAGGATTTACTGATAATAAAATTACTCTAGATAATTTAGCTTATCTAACTGAACAGTTTATGTAGAAATCAGGGAACACTTTACATCAACTTTCAAAATCATTAGATTCCCTGGCTGGAGTTGTTTTTGATAATCATATGGCACTAGATTATTGACTGGCAGATCAAGGAGGAGTCTGTACAGTCATTAATAAGTTCTGTTGTACCTATATAAATAATTCAGCACTAGTGGAGACCAATATACAGGAAATATATAAACAGGCTGAGTGGCTTCACAAATTTAACAAACCTTCTGTCACCTCTTCATTAACCTCGTGGATACCCACTTTTTCTTGGCAATTGCCTTTTTTGGGACCTCTCATATCTGTATTTTAATACTGATGTTTGGGCCCTGCCTATACAAATTTTTATGAAATTTCTACAAGATCGTATTAAAGCAATAATCAACAATTCAATAAAAGATATCCTCCTTTTAAGACCAGCCCATTATCAACTTGTATCTCAACATGAAACATAGGGACAACTCTACGTCCTCTACCAGTAGGAAGCAGTTACAGAAAAAAGAAACAACATCCCTCAACGTCCCTAGTAACACAAATTTAGATATATTTTTAGGCAACAAAAAAGATGAGGGAATGAAGTGTTAATAAAATCAAACCTCACAATAATTTACACTCAGCCAAAATGGAATGTTACAAGAAAATAAATTCCAGACTATCAGACTTCTGAAAATAGTTAATGACCATAGTGCCTAAGGCATTTGACTGCTAACCAGAAGGCTGGAGGTTCAAACCCACCAGCCACTCCTTGGAAGGAAGGTTGGGCAATCTACTTCTGTAGAGATACCACCTTGGAAGCCCAAGGAGGGGTCGCTATGAGTTGGATCTGACTAGATGGCAGTGGGTTTTTTTTTTTTTTTTTTTGTATCTGACTCTTTTAAAAAGTTATAGGGGCACCATGACTGCAAGGAAGGAACAAGCTGACTAAAAGGAAGGAACAGGTTGATCACGAGACTTGGCTGACTAAACTCTATGACATCTTAAACCCTGAGACAAAGAAATGACGACTTCAGAAAGCAGGATAAGACAATTGTTGGTTGGTCTCTCTAGCATGGAGAGTCAGCCCATTTGCTTCGATGCTTGCATCTTTTAAATAAATTCTCCTTTTCTATTTCTCTGGCCTGGTTTCTCTTGGCATAAGCAACCCAAACCATTGAGTTTGACCACTGGGAGGACTGGCAAGGGGAGGATGGGAAGTCAGCTCCCTTTCTTATATCATTCCTCTACCAAAAGCTTCAGCTTCTGTAAGTGGCTTTTGTCCCACAGTGGCAGCTCTTAGCTGGTTCCAATAACAGTTCCTTTTCTTGCCCACTTAGGTCTAGAGGTGGGTAACATTTTCCTCATTTTCCTACTGTTTTGAGGAAGATAGGGGTACGGTGGGGGGTTATACCACCAACTCTTATTGGTTCAGTATAAATAAAAACAAAACAAAACAAATCATTTGCCATTGGGTTAGACCCTGATGCATGGTGACCCCATGTGTGTTAGAGCAGAATTGTGCTCCATGGGGCTTTCAATAGCTGAGTTTTCAGAAGCAGATCTCCACGTCTTTCTTCTGAGGTGCCTCTGGGTAGACTCGAACTTCTAACCTTTCAATTAGAAGCAAAAACTATTTATGCCATCCCCACACACAGAAAACCAAAACCCTTACTCTTGAGATGATTCTGCCTCATAGCAAAGCTATAGAACAGAGTAGGGTGTTCAAGCCTATAATCTTTACAGAAGCAGACTGCCACATATCTTTCTCTCATAGAAAAGCTGGTGGGTTCAAACTGCTGATCTCTTGTTTAGCAGCTGAGCACTTAACTACTGAGCCACCAGGGCTC